TAGGCTTCGTACTTAACCTGCACGCAGGGCACCCTCATGAGATACCCTACAGAGCGGGCTGTGATACTTAGGTAGGCTTTCGTACTAACCTGGCACGCAGGACCCTCATGAGATACCTACAGCACGGGCTGATACTAGCGTAGGCTTTCGTACTAAACTTGGCTACGCAGCACCCTCATGAGATACACTACGGACCGGCTGATACTTAGGTATGGCTTGCGTACTAACTGCACGCAGCACCCTCATGAGATACCTTACAGTGCGGCTGTACTTAGCGTAGGTGTTGACTACCTGCACGGCAGACCCTCTATTGATGGGATACCTACAGAGCGGCTGATACTTAGCGTAGCGTGTTGTATCTAACTGCACACAGCCCTCATGACGCATACCTACGGAGCTGGCTGAATACTTACGTAAGGTGTCTGTACTAACCTTGCACAACAGACTCCCTCATGAATGATACCTACGGAGCGGCTGATACTTAGCGTAGGTGTCGTACTAACCTGCACGCAGACCCTCATGAGATACCTACGGAGCGGCTGATACTTAGCGTAGGCTTCGTACTAACCTGCACGCAGACCCTCATGAGATACCTACGGAGCGGCTGATACTTATCCGTAGGTGTCGCTTACTACCTGCATCGCAGACCCTCATGAGATACCTACGAGCGGCTGATACTTAGCGTAGGCTTCGTACTAACCTGCACGCAGACCCTCATGAGACCCGGCGGTCCGTTCCAGCGAGCAGCGCGCGTTGGCACTCGACGGCTGCGACGAGCGACGTGACGCCGGCTGCCGTGACGTGTTGCGCACGCCGTTGCAAGCGCCGCCAGGGTGCGGTTGCCGACGATCCACGCAGCGACCGTCCCTTAGCGCACGCTTCGCGAGGAACGGGGGCCGGCATCTCCGGCCGCCTGTCATCGCCTGGAGCGGCGCAAGCAGAAGTCGTCACAGCGTCGGTCAGCCGATCAGTTCGCTCTCTAGGGCGCTGATTTCACAAAGTCTTTATGAGAAATGCTGACGGGATTATGCGTGTTGACGCGAGCAGGACAGAGTCTGAAAGCGAATCACGCGCCAGTGGCGGCGCGCGATCGTGGCTTCACATTTCCATTATTGCAGGTGGCTTATTGCCGGTCTCGCAATAAAGTCCAAGCTGCTCCTGATGTTCAAAACTTTTTGATGTGTATTACTATATAAGCTATGGTTAAATTCATGAAAATTGGTCCTGCTAAATGTGACTAGTCTCGGGACTGGGGATGGGGCAGCCCTCCAACACTGCCACATACAGCCATACAGTGATTATTACTCACATGTTTGCAAGTGCAGTGAGGGCGGATCTCTCTTTGACGACCTTGCGATCTTTGTGTGACTTGCTGCGAATCTGCATTATTGCTGCGCTGTAATTATGTACATAACAATACCAATTATGTACAATGGTCACAGGTGCCATTACGCTATCTTATCAGAATACCCTCTGCCTTATTTGGGTTGTTGAAGAGATTTGAAAGAAATATTCTAAAAGATGTGCTGAAAGACGAATTCGTATTTTCGGCATTACTCCTTGCGATTCTTTTTGGGTCGTCCATTATTTAGAAGCCTGTCCCTTATTTCGATTCCGTCTGCAGGAAAGAGAAATGATGGTCATCTATGCCATAGTTCCGAGCAGTTCAGGTAGATGCGCTTATATAATTGACGAGCTGTTAATTGATGATTATTACACTTAGCATCGCCGTGCCATTTAACTATAAATTTGATTGTCCTGTTCACAACCACTCTGGCTGCAGAATATCAGTAAGGATACGAAGTAGATGGTGTTATAGGATGGCTTATATCACGTGCTTATAATGACAAATAGGTGCGAAATAGGTAGGTGTGTGATAGGAGGTTATATCAGGATGTATAATGGACAAATAGGTTGCGAATAGGTAAGGTGTTATAGGATGGATATATCACGTGCTATAATGACAAATAGGCTGCCGAAATAGGGTGGTGTATAGGATGGATATATCACGTGTATAATGACAAATCATGGTGCGAAATTAGGTGTGTATAGGATGGATATATCAGATTCATGCTGCTAAATGACAAATATGCGTGCAAAATAGAAATGGTGTATAGGAGGCGATATATCACGGGCTGATAATGACAAATAGCGTACGCACAAATAGGTGGTGTATTAGGATGCGTTATCATCACGGCGTATAATGACAAATAGCGGCGAAAGATTAGGTGGTGTATAGGATGCGATATATCAGCGTGCTATAATGACAAATAGGTGCGAAATAGGTGGTGGTATAGGATGCGAGTATGATCACTGTGCTATAATGACAAATATCGTGCGAAATAGTTGATGCGCGCATATGGATGGATATATGCACGTGCTATAATGACAAATATGTGCGGAAATAGGTGTGATAGGATAGGAATATATCATGATTCATTGGCTATAATGCAAATAGGTGCGAAATAGGGGGTCGGATAGGATGGATATATCAACGGTGCTATAATGACAAAATGTGCCGAATAGGTGGTGTATAGGATGGATATATCACTGCTATAATGAACAAATATGTGCTGAAATAGGTGGTGTATTAGGATGGATAGTATCACGTGCATAATGACAAATAGCGCCTTACAATAATCAGGTGGTGTATAGATGGATATATCACGTGCCTATAATGACAAATTATGTGCGAAATAGGTAGGTGTATAGGATGGATTATCAACGTGCTATAATGACAAATAGGTACAAGAATTAGATGGTGATAGGATGGATATATCACTGCTATAAATGACAAATAGGTGGCGAAATTAGGTGCAGGTTATTAGGATGGATATCACGTGCAATATAATGAACAAATAGGTGCGCAAATAGCATGGTATAGGATGGATATATCACGTGTATAATGACAAATAGGTGCCGAAACTAAGGTGTTGGCATAGCAGGATATAGCACGTGCTATAATGACAAATATCGTCGACGAAGATAGGTGGGGTTATAGGATGGATATATCATGATCATGGCTATAATGACAATAGTCGCGAAATAGATGCGTGTATTAGGTATGGATAATTCACGTGCGTATAATGACAAATTGTTGCGAAAATAGGTGGTGTATAGGATGGATATATACACGTGCTATAATCGAGCAATATCGTGCCGAAGATATCGCGTCGGTGTATAGATGCGATATACTTCACGTGCTATAATGACAAATATGTGTGCGTAAGATAGGCTCGTGTGATATAGGATGCGCATATATTCACGTGCGTATAATGACAAATAGGTGGCGAAATAGGCTGTTTTGCGGGGGCAATTAGGATGGTTATATTATGAATGACAATTATTTGGCTTTTTCCTTCTTTTTTGACACGGGTGTTCTGTCTCCTCTACTCGACATGATTATGTGCTGCTCCTCGCCGCTTCCTTGTGCGGCTGTCCATGAGGTCGGAGGAACGACGGCTGAAAAATAGTAGTGCTTCAAACCGCGGTGGAATGCAAGATAGACGCAGCGATCTTACAGCCACACTGAGGAAGATAACACATGGCATCAGCGCTACTCTCCATATCATCAGGAGTCTATCAATAGTCTATTGTCTTATAGTGTCGATAGTCATATATCGATCTATAGTCGATCAAGTAGTTCTATTGATAGACTCATGATATCATCCAAAAAAAAGCTAGCGCACACTTTAGATTGATGTTAGTTTGAATGTAAGAAATCCTCTTTCTAGGCAAGGAAACCGATACAGCTCAGGAGAATAATGTGTGGAACTGCCCATTACTTATACCTTTACGGCCACATATGCACGGCCGCACGTACAAACGATTGCGCCTAACCACGTTAATGCCATATAACAAGCATATGCTTCATAATGCAAGGGTTCTCCAAGGTTTTGAATGCATGTCTGGGCACGATTATTATATATATGATTATGTGTAATACATGTGTGTTTTTTTTTGTTTCTATGTATGTGTACATTGTATGTCAGGGTTCTGCCCACAGTGGGCGGCAAATGTGCGGGTGTGCCCGGCGCACTCGTGCGTTGCCGCGGCAATACTCTGCTGTCTATAATAAATAAAAAAGAATGATTTATAGTTGTATTGCTCAGAATGCCAAAATTGAGTTCCAGACTATCCAGACCCTAATTAAAATTCCCGTTGGCGGGCAGGGCCCGGTTGATTTTGTTCTTTATATGTGTTGTCTTTGCGCTTACGGCGCTTGCATCTTCCGACTTTTCGTACTGGATGCTGCCCGGACTAAAAAAACCTGGAGGCAGAAACCCTGTATGTGCTTGAGATTATTATCTGTCATGATCACCTGCTATAATATGATAGCACATAAGCTGAACGCGGACGGCGGCGGGCATGCGCGCGGCGAGTGCACACTCACGCACGCCTTGTGGCCAGTGGTGGAGCGCCGTAAGCCTGCAGCTTGCGTCAGCATGTACTAATATATTATGTGGATATATACATAGGTTATACAATAAGCGTCTACGGCGGCGGGCGTCGTGGAGCGTGCGGGAGTTCTCACTCACGGCTGCCCAGTGGTGGGCGCCGTGCCGTTGCAGCTGCGTCGGTGCACCAGCTTCCTCATGCTCCAGCGCAAACTCAGACACGACGGTGCGCGAGCGGCGGCGGCGCGCCACCGTCGCCCAACCTGTTGCCTCGCAGGACAGCGACAGGCTCAATACTGGTTATTTATACTGGTTTATAAATACTGGTTATTTATACTGGCTTATACTTACTGGTTTATAAATACTGGTTATTTATACTGGTTTATAACTGGCAGTAATAACTGGTGCATACTACTTAAGCAAACTCGGCTACATGCCTGTGCTAAGCCGATTGTGCCTGCATCGCCTATGAGGTTGCCGGTCAGATCTAGTTGCACGAGCTGGCATGAAGTGAGAGCTGCTCCAAGTTTCGCGGCTCCTTCATCTGATATTTGGTTGAACCTCAACGACAAATGTTGCAGCCTGCAACAAGAAAAAGTAACAGCTAGAACATTTTTGTGCTGTTATGTATATTATGTATTAGGTATATCTCATGTATAGGTCGTTCAACAAATAAATCCCCTTGTCACCATGCATCCTATTACTAATTTCAATTATATGCACCAAGTAAAATATTACGCGCAAAGCACAATATCGGTTTTACTACTTCTTACCGGCTCTCAGGGACCAATAATTTGCACCACGGTGAAACCTTGATAGGGTTGGAATCTAGTACAACTGATCTGCAATAACAAACACCTGATAGTGTGGAAGAACACCTGAGCTTTGCAAGTGACATCTTCAATGACCATGTGTCATGTACCATAAAATCTGAAAACCAACACAATTACGTCCAGTTCACTCATCAATCAAAGCATTTTTGCGTGTTTCATGGTGATTATAAGTCGTAGGTGCTCTCGTGAGATGTCTAGATATAGAGATGGCCCCCTACCTGAGAAGATGGCACTGGGGAAGAACTCGTGCCAATAAGTTTACAGTGTCTTCCTCAAGACCTGCATTCCACAAACTGCAAGAAAAGACATCTAAGTACAATAAACATGAACGACTGCTATGCCAGCCATTGCATAATTTTCACAAAGGGGCTCCAGGTGGTATTGAAGATGAGTCACGCCGGGATCTACCTTAACGATTACAAATCGCATCTAATGGGTTTTTAATTACTTTTTTATATAGTGTGTTTCCGTTATATAGTATTGCTTTCGAAAATTCTAAAATGACATGCTGTAACAGCTGGTTATGCTAAAATGATGTAATAAGTCTTCGGTACAATCATCAATCAGAGATGGTCCAAGGCGTCATGTGTGATGTCTAACATATAAATGTTACACTATTATTTTTTGTAAATGTGTAAATACAGTCAATTAGGTGAAATGTAACTTTATGGATTTTAAGCTAGTACTACCAGTCTACCGCACAGCTATTTAGTTTCTTTTCATGCACTCGCCTGATTGCGTGTAGTTTGTCAAGTGTCAGCCAACAATGACTAAGAACTTCCATCATGGAATTATCCACCTTCCATCCTAAACACGAAAATGAGGTGTAAATAACTACAATGGATTACACTCACTATTTGCAGGTGCTTTTATGCAGTTGTATATGTATTAAATACGAGTAGGTCATACAGATAAGCACAGGATCACACACTAGGTGACATAATATGTCTCTGACATGTGCCTGTGTAACGTTACATGCTGATGGGCGTACCTCTGATGAACATTTCAGTTATAGCTTCATGTTTTTCGATCACCTCTGTGACAGTCTGAACACTCGGCTTAAAGAATTCATATTTTCCTTTGGTTCTGTATGTCTTTGGTAAATCTGCAATCTCTGAAACAGGAAACGTTTAAACTGCATCGTCTCTTCTTTCTTTACGTTACAAATGTTTGTTAAAAGGCTATAGACAGTATATTTTTTGCAGGTTTCTGGACCTAGTAATTTCAGCTGGCCAGTCCATCGTCAGTTTGCTGTGTTATCTTTTACATATACGTGGCTACATGAATCTCACACGATACCATGCGCATAAAAAATGAGTTCAGGGACAAAGTACTGCTCCCTAGCAGGATTGGTGTTGGTGATAAATTCTCATTCAAGGAAATGCTGCCCCTGGGGCCTGGACTCGTGCAAGATTGTGCATGGCCATGAAATTAAGGATGTGAATAGGTAAGATTAGGTTGTGCTGACTGAGCAATGTCCATCAGAACTGCGAATCTAACACGACAGTATGCACAGAACCTTCACGAAAGACTACCTATACTCACCATCCAATGTTTGTTCACTAGTATCTGGTAAATTTCTCGCAGCACCATCACTTTGGATCTTATACCGAGGCACCACATCTGGTATTCTGGCTAGTGGTAGCCGGGTACACAACTCTTGGAAATCGCACGAAAAGTTGCCTGTGCATGTGTAAGCATCTATGAAAATAAATAAATAAATTAGCATACAATAAACGTTAGATGAGCTCTAATGACCACAGCCACTTGGGTCGTTTCAATGAAACAAGTGCCGCATAGCGACAGCGCTCATCTAACGTCTACTGCGGTGACTCTGTGGTGGAGTGGTGGGATTCTAGTAAACCCTGTTAGTCCCAAATGTGTTCACATACACGCCAGCGGTCCGTTCCAGCCGAGCAGCGCGCGTTGGCACTCGACGGCTGCGACGAGCGACGTGACGCCGGCGTCCGTGACGTTGTTGCGAGCCAGGTTGAGGCTCGCCAGGTGCCGGTTGCCGACGATCCACAGGCGACCGTCCCTGTAGCGCACGCTCTCGAGGAACGGGTGCCCGATCTCCGCGTTGTCATCGTCCTGGAGCGGCGAAGAGAAGTCGTCACAGCGTCGGTCAGCGATCAGTTCGCTCTCTAAGGCGCGATTTCACAGTCTTTATGAAAAATGTGACGGGATAGTGCGTGTGACGTGAGCAGGACAGAGTCGAAAGGAATCACGCGACAGTGCGGCGCGCGATCGTGACTTCACATTTCCCTTATTGCAGGGGGTTATGCCGGTCTCGGAAATAAGTCCAAGCTGGTCCTGATTTCAAAACTTTTGATGTATACTAACTATATAAGCTATGGTTAAATCCATGAAAATTGGTCCTGCTTAAATGTTACTAGTCTCGGACTGGGGGATGGGGCTGCCCTTTCCAACACTGCCACATACAGCATACAAGTGATTATACTCACATGTTGCAAGTGCAGTGAGGGCGGTCTCTCCTTTGACGACCTTGGGGATCCTTTGGGTGACTTGCTGGCATCTGGCATTATGCTGGCTGTAATTGGTATGTTAACTTGACTTTCAATTATGTACAATGACACGCAGTTATGTACAATGTACACAATTATGTACAATGTACACAATTATGTACACAGTGCATTACGCTATCTTATCAGAATACCCTCTGCCTTATTTTGAAGAGACTTAAAGAAATATTCTAAAGATGTCTGAAAGACGATTCGTATTTTCGGCATTACTCCTTCGATTCTTTTGGTCGTCTTTTTTAGAAGCCTGTCCCTTATTTCGATCCTCCTGCAGGAAAAGAGAAATGAGGTCATCTATGCCCAAGTTCCCGGCAGTTCAGGTAAGATGCGCTTATATAATTACGACTGTTAATTGCATGATTATTACACTTAGCATCCCGTGCCATTAATATAAATTTGATTGTCCTGTTCACAACCACCTGTGCAAGAATATCAGTAAGGATACGAAATAGATGGTGTATAGGATGGATATATCACGTGCTATAATGACAAATAGGTGCGAAATAGGTGGTGTATAGGATGGATATATCACGTGCTATAATGACAAATATGTGCGTTTTAATGCATGTCGGGCACGATTATTATATACTTATATTATGTGTATATACATGTGTATGTATGTGTACATTGTATGTGTATGAGTTATTATCTGTCATTAGTTCCACACCCCTGGTTAATAATTATAACACAAGCAGTACATCAGGCGGCGGCAGGTGAGCGCGGCGGCGAGTTCGCACCACGCCTGTGGCAGTGGTGGGGCGCCCGTGGCCTGCAGCTTGCGTCGCTGTACTATATATTATGTGTATATATACATAGGTATACACATAAGCGTCTACGGCGGCGGGGGTGAGCGTGCGGCGAGTTCTCACTCACGCTGTGGCAGTGGTGGGGCGCCGTGGCCTGCAGCTTGCGTCGGTGCACCACCTCCTCATGCTCCAGCGCAAACTCCGACACGACGGTGGGCGAGGGCGGCGGCGCCACCGTCGCCCACCCTGTTGCTCGCAGAGACAGGCTCACCAAGGTTCGATTCGTTCTCAGGCCCTGCGAGCGGAGACGCACGGGGGGGTTCACTTTGGGACACACGAATTAAGATAGAAAGCTAGTCTAGTCGACGCACGTGTTATAACAGCGAGTTCCAGTGATTGCGCGAAGGCAGCTTAAAGCGCTGCACACAATGGCGCATTTCCATCCCAACGCTAATTTCTCCAGTACTAGACTAGCAAATACTTCGCTGTCACTGCAAATCACACTACTTATGACAAAATAAACTCTAGTTGCTCCCATTTCACTGCGCGTTTGCTTAAAACCCAACAAGAAAGAGGCGAGAAAAACTAGCAATTCTGGCGGCAACACGCCGACTGTTTCCCAAAACAAAATTGCCATCGAAGCTGGTGACGTGACGTCACATGTTGTTATCTTTGCTTGCGCCCGTACCGCTGTACTACGCGCAGCCGCTGCACGGTTGCCTTGGAGATTGGGAGAAACTGTCAACAACATCAGAGAAATTTCAACAACATTGGAGGTATTTTCAAAGTACCTTTTATACAGACAGCCTTCGCAGTGATAATTGGGAGGAGAACTCAGAGTTGTTTTGCCAATGGCAAGTAGTATGATTATGCATGACACGAAGTATTGCTAGTCTTAGCACTGGCAGAAATTAGCGTTTTTGATGCGCATTGTGAGCCTTTAATCGAAATAAACGCCTGCAAGGTCAAGTTGTGGCGTTGTATCGCTATGCTCTTGACTAATACCCTTAGCGGCAACCAACTGGTGGCATGACTACTCACTTATACTGGTTATTTATATACTGGTTTATCAGTACTGCATGGTTATTTATACTACAGTATTTATCTGGTTTATCAAACTGCATGGCTTATTATAACTACCAGTATTTATACTGGTTTATCAATACTGGTTATTTATACTGGTTTATAAATACTGGTATTTATACTGGCTTATTACTTAGCTGGTTTATTAAATACTGGTTATTTATACTGGTTTATAACTGGCAGTAATAACTGGTGCATACTACTTAAGCAAACTCGGCTACATGCCTGTGCTAAGCCGATTGTGCCTGCATCGCCTATGAGGTTGCCGGTCAGATCTAGTTGCACGAGCTGGCAATGAAGTGAGAGCTGCTCCAAGTTTTGCCGCGCTCCTTCATCTGATATTTGGTTGAACGCTCAACGACAAATGTTGCAGCCTGCAACAAGAAAAGTAACAGCTAGAAATTTTTGTGCTGTTATGTATATTATGTATTAGGTATATCTCATGTATAGGTCGTTCACAAATAAAATCCCCTTGTCACCATGCATCCTATTACCTAATTTCAATTATATGCACCAGAGTAAAATATTACGCGCGAAAGGCACAATATCGGTTTTACTACTTCTTACCGGCTCTCAGGGACCAATAATTTGCACCACGGTGAAACCTTGATAGGGTTGGAATCTAGTACAACTGATCTGCAATAACAAACTCCTGATAGTGTGGCAAGAACACCTGAGCTTTGCAAGTGACATCTTCAATGACCATGTGTATTTGAAACTATGTACCATAAACATCTGAAAACCAACACAATTACGTCCAGTTCACTCATCAATCAAAGCATTTTTTGGCGTGTTTCATGCTGATTATAAGTCGTAGGTGCTCTCGTGAGATGTATAGATATAGAGATGGCCCCCTACCTGAGAAGATGGCACTGGGAAGACTCGTGCCAATAAGTTTACAGTGTCTTCCTCAAGACCTGGCATTCCACAAAACTGCAAGAAAAGACATCTAAGTACATAAACATGAACGACTGCTATGCCAGCCATTGCATAATTTTCACAAAGGGGCTCAGGTGGTATGAAGAATGAGTCACGCCGGATCTACCTTAACGATTACAAATCGCATCTAATGGGTTTTTAATTACTTTTTTATATAGTGTGTGTTCCGTTATATAGTATTGCTTTCGAAAATTCTAAATGACATGTTGTAACAGCTGGTTATGCAAAATGATGTAATAAGTCTTCGGCTACAATCATCAATAGAGATTGGCGCCAAGGCGTCATGTGTGATGTCTAACATATAAATGTTTACACTATTATTTTTTGTAATGTGTAAATACAGTCAATTAGGTGAAATGTAACTTTTATGGATTTTAAGCTAGTACTACCAGTCTACCGCAACAGCCTATTTAGTTTCTTTTCATGACTACGCTACTGATTGCGTGTAGTTTGTCAAGTGTCACCAACAATGACTAAAAACTTCCATCATGGAATTATCCACCTTCCATCCTAAACACGGAAAATGAGGTGTAAATAACTACAATGGATTACACTCTACTATTTGCAGGTGCTTTTATGGCAGTTGTATATGTATTAAATACGAGTAGGTCATACAGATAAGGCACAGGATCACACACTAGGTGACATAATATGTCTCTGACATGTGCCTGTGTAACCGTACATGCTGATGGGCGTACCTCTGATGAAGCATTTCAGTATAGGCTTCATGTTTTCGATCACCTCTGTGATCAGTCTGAACACTCGGCTTAAAGAATTCATATTTTCCTTTGGTTCTGTAATGTCTTTGGTAAATCTTGCAATCTCTGAAACAGGAACGTTAAACTGCATCGTCTCTTCTTTCTTTACGCGTTACAAATGTTTGGTTAAAAGGCTATAGACAGTATATTTTTTGCAGTGTTCTGGACCTAGTAATTTCCAGCTGGCCAGTCCATCGTCAGTTTGCTGTGTTATGGCTTTTACATATATACGTGGCTACATGAATCTCACACAACCATGCGCATAAAAAAATGAGTTCAGGGACAAAGTACTGCTCCCTAGCAGGTATTGGTGTTGGTGAATAAATTCTCATTCAAGGAAATGCTGCCCCTGGGGCCTGGACTCGTGCAAGATTGTGGCATGGCGCACGAAAAAATTAAGGATGTCATATAGGTAAGTTATAGGTTGTGCTGACTAGCAGAGCAATGTCCATCAGAATTGCGAATCTAACACGACGAGTAATGCACAGAACCTTCACAAAGAGCTAACCTATACTCAGCCATCCCAATGTTTGTTCACTAGTATCTGGTAAATTTCTCAGCAGCCCCATCACTTTGGATCTTATACCGAGGCACCACATCTGGTATTCTGGCTAGTGGTAGCCGGGTACACAACTCTTGGAAATCGCACGAAAAAGTTGCCTGTGGGCATGTGTACGCATCTATAAAATAAATAAATAAATTTAGCATACAATAAACGTTAGATGAGCTCTAATGACCACAGCCACTGGGTCGTTTCAATGAAACAAGTGCCGCCATAGCGACAGCGCTCATCTAACTCTACTGCGGCTTGCACTGCTTGTGGCTGGAGTGGTGGATGTCTAGTAAAAGCCTGTTAGTCCCAAATGTGTTTCACATACACGGCCGAAACCAGTGGAATGCGAGCAGGGATAGCGTATCAAGGAACCTTCTAAAATGAAATGTCCTCGATGATTTCGTTATGAAAGTTGCCACGAAGATGGCGGCGACGTTTAAAGTGTCATTCAGATAAAGATGGAAGCTCCCATAATACGTATTAGCCAACAATATCTGACAAGACAGAAAGGTAAGCACTCATCATTTACTACTGCAAGCCTACAGTCTGCCGCCAATAGAGAGCTTACGGCACCTGTAAGCCAAATTAAGGCAAAAACTCCAGTCCACCAACCACATGCACTGGCAGTAGGCTCACTGGCAGCTGGCATAACATATACATGCTAACATACTGACAGTAAGGGCAGAATGCCATATATGATTATACGATATTAAGCGAGCATAAACCCTTCTTTAACCAATTTAGCTTATTTTGAAAATTTCACTGTGACATTGTAGCCTCATAACATCCAGGACATGCTATAAGATTCTACTAGGCGCGAAACCCAGCAGTCAAATTCCTTCATAACAGACAGTCAACAAATCCAATGTTTACCCTCCTCTTGAGCGGTCAAAAGGTTAATCTGACACTTACTCTTCGCAAGCTCGAGCAGAATAGTAAGATTTCATGGTCCTTCAATAATGCCAATAAAAATGCTAGGTCAGCCAAGCGTGAAACAAAAAAGTTTTTCAATCGCTCCGTCAGACCCATGGTCCCTCAGAAAAATGTCTAAAATCTGCCCTGTGCCCATTGACCTTTGACGCTGTGACTCCAATTCTCGGACGAGTGATGGCTTTTCCTCTGACCATGATTGCTATACACCGACTAATCACGAGCCTAGCGTCGAGCCGTTTAGATTTGTGCCGCAATTCTAGCAATTCCTCCTATACGCTTAAGTTAAGGAGTGAATGTTCCCCCTTCTTTTACACCTCTTTGACCTTTGGACGCTTTGACCCCAGCTTCGACATCCCAACTCGTTTTGACGATCCCCCCAACGACCCGAATATCGTGACCGTACGTCGAGCGGTTAAGATTTGTGCCCAACTGTTGACGGACCGACCGGACGACGCGGACGACCGGACGACCGGAACGGACGAATCAGCGATTCTACAAGCTGCATCTAGACTATGTCAGATGAGCTAAAAACGATGGAAAATAAATACAAATTATATTTACTACCAAAGCGTACAT